GGAGGTTTTTCCCTTGCAGGGAAGAAAGAGGAACCTCAACTTCCTCAGAAGACTCACACAACATTTTTGGAGCTCCAGGATCAAGTGGAGGATACGGGAACAACCAGCAGCTCCCATCATTCTATAAAATAGGGACAAAAAGAGCTAATTTTGATGAGGAAAATGCGTGAGTGCCAACTGTCGGTGATAAATGTGTCAGTTATCTCTGGACCTGTTTAATGTAGTAATGAAATTTGTATTTTTCATGTTTGACCAGGTATTTTGAAGACGATGAAGAGGAGTCCAGCAGCAACGTGGATCTTCCGTACATTCCAGCTGAGAACTCCCCCACACGGCAGCAGATGAAGTCAGGTGGTGGCTCTGATAGCGAAGATGACCCCTTGGATGCCTTCATGGCAGAAGTTGAGGTGCGAAAATTGTAGCCGCTGTTCCATTTGTGCACTACGAATAAAATTAAAGCAGGTGTTACACAGAAGCTTACAGCAATGTATCTTTAACAGATCTTTCTTTTTTGCTTAGGACCAAGCAGCCAAAGACATGAGGAAACTCGAGGAAAAGGAGAAAAAGTTGTCCAAGTAAGACTCTTAATTTGTTTATTTTGGTCTCCAATAATCTGTTCAAAAGCCCAACCATTACACGCATATCTTTTTACGAATCGCACTAATGTGAGCTAATTTAGTCTTAGTTGGAGTTTCATTAGCTTAGCATGAGCAGCCTTTAGAGTTGCTCCCTCTGCTGTCACAAAAGAGCCATGCACCTGAGTTATTATAAGCTGGTAAGCAGATTTAGCGCCCTAAAGTTGTTTTTGGGTTGTTGGTTGTGTTTGGTGTACGAACGAGTTGCAGGGAAGTTTTTTTTTCTCCGCTTGTTTTTCCAGGGGTGTTCGTGATGACATTGAAGAAGAAGATGAACAAGTGAGTGAGCCCTCCACAGTTATTAATCAGAGTCGTTTTCCCTCTGATCTTACAAAGCATCATCTCTCGGTTGCATTTAGGACTATTTTTGTGGTTGGACGATTTTTTTTAATCCGTCATCAAATGAGGAAAATTGCGATGAATGCGTATCTATTTGTCATCTAACTTCAAATGTTGTATCCTCCACAGGAAGCCTACTTCCGCTACATGGCAGAGAATCCCACCGCTGGGCTCACCCAAGAAGAAGAAGAAGACATTGTTGACTATGATAGCGATGGAAATCCAATTCCTTCTGCGACCAAGAAAATCATCATGCCACTTCCTCCTATTGACCACTCTGAGGTAAAGCTGACAACAGCAGTCAAGAGCAGATAACCAAACAGCCCTTTGTGTTTTGATTCTGTGTAAAGTAAACAGTTTTGTTGTGGTTTTTAAACCTGTTCTCTGGTCTTTTGTTTCATAGATTGACTATCCACCATTTGAGAAAAACTTTTACAACGAGCACGAGGAGCTCGGTTGCCTCACTGGGACTCAGGTGTTGGACTTGCGGCACAAACTCAACTTGAGAGTAAGTCGGTTGTTATTTTCATGCTTGTTTATAAATTAAACTAATTAGAAAACAAAGTAAATGCAGTCTGGACTAATGTGGGTTTGTTTGTTTTTTTCTTTCAGGTATCCGGCGCCGCCCCTCCGAAACCTTGCACCAGTTTCGCCCACTTTGGCTTTGATGAGCAGCTGATGCACCAAATTAGAAAGTCTGAATATACTCAGCCTACGCCGATTCAGTGTCAGGTACAGTTTCAGATCGTACCGAGACTTCTTTGTGGTTGAAAGTAAAGTTTGATAAACCCGAATCTTGTTCTGATTAGGGTGTTCCTATTGCTCTGTCTGGACGTGACATGATTGGCATTGCCAAAACGGGCAGCGGGAAAACTGCTGCTTTCATCTGGCCCATGCTGGTTCACATCATGGACCAGAAGGAGCTGGAACCTGGAGAGGGGCCTATAGCAGTCATTGTGTGTCCCACTAGAGAGCTCTGTCAGCAGGTAAGGAACTTCAGATTTGTGGCTCTGTTATTCAACCGTGTTGAGGATTTTTTTTTCTGTATTGAATCTTTCATTTTTCACTACTAGATTCATGCAGAATGTAAGCGTTTTGGGAAAGCCTACTCATTGCGTTCTGTGGCTGTCTATGGAGGAGGCAGTATGTGGGAACAGGCCAAGGCTTTGCAGGATGGAGCAGAAATTGTTGTGTGCACACCAGTAAGTAACACCAGCTTTTCTTTTTATCATTTTAAACAAAATCCTTCGTATTTTGTAGCAGAAAGTAAAAAAATCCCCTCTTTCTGATTCTTATTACCCAGGGACGCCTGATTGACCATGTTAAGAAGAAGGCTACATCCTTGCAGAGAGTAACCTACCTGGTGTTTGATGAGGCTGATCGCATGTTTGATATGGGCTTTGGTGAGCCGTCGGTCTCGGTGACTTTATTATACATGATTTCTTCTTCATGGTGTCTTAATGAAACATTTTCTTTTCCTTTTAGAATATCAAGTCAGATCTATAGCCAGCCATGTCCGCCCAGACAGACAAAGTAAGAGATTTCACTGCAGTCTGTTTATTTTTATTAATGTCATCAAAGCATTTTGATATTTATTCATATGTTTTCCTTCACAGCTCTTTTGTTTAGTGCTACTTTTCGAAAGAAGATTGAAAGGTTGGCTAGAGACATCCTGATAGATCCTATCCGTGTGGTCCAAGGTGACATCGGAGAGGTGACAGTTTATGTGCTGAGATTTACAGATATCTGTCAGAGAATGGAAAACAAACTGAGCAAACAATTTTTAATTGTCCCTTAAAACTGAGCATTTCCTTCCTTTCCACACAGGCTAACGAGGATGTGACTCAGGTGGTGGAGATGCTGCCCAGCGGGATGGATAAATGGTCTTGGTTGACCCGCCGGCTGGTTGAGTTCACCTCCACTGGATCTGTCCTTATTTTTGTCACCAAGAAGGCTAACAGTGAGGAGCTGGCTACTAACCTTCAGCAGGAAGGCTACAGCCTCGGCCTCCTGCATGGAGACATGGACCAGAGTGAGAGGAACAAGGTCATCAGCGACTTCAAGAAGAAGAACTTGCCCGTTCTGGTTGCAACTGACGTAGCCGGTGCGTTTAAGAGTTGGCGATGGAGATGCAGAAGCCATTTTACTTCCATTTTGTTAACCTTTTTGCACTTTTTGTTTAAAATTCTGAGAAACTGCATCAAATTTAAAAGTTTGGTAAACATGTGTTGTTTACTCCTCTCTATCCACTTCCTCCCCAGCCCGTGGTCTGGACATCCCATCCATCCGCACTGTTGTGAACTATGATGTGGCACGTGACATCGACACACACACTCACAGGATAGGTCGAACTGGTCGTGCTGGGGAGAAAGGTGTGGCCTACACACTCCTCACCAACAAAGACACCTCGTTTGCTGGAGATCTGGTGCGGAATCTCGAGGGAGCCAATCAGGCTGTTTCTAGAGAGCTGATGGATTTAGCCATGCAGGTGAGAAAGATACTTTAAACTAAATAGTGACTGGACTAAAGAGATGCTATCTATCTATCTGTCTGTCTGTCTGTCTGTATCTGTCTATCTGTCATCTATCTGTCTGTCTCTGTCTGTCTGTCTATCTATCATCTGTCTGTCTCTGTCTGTCTGTCTATCTATCATCTATCTGTCTGTCTCTGTCTGTCTATCTATCATCTGTCTGTCTGTCTGTCTATCTGTCTATCTATCATCTATCTATCATCTGTCTGTCTGTCTGTCTGTTTATCTATCTATCTATCTATCTATCTGTCTATCTGTCTGTCTGTCTGTCTGTCTGTCGTTTATTATCTATAATTATCATTTATTTTCCCTCCTAGAATCCCTGGTTCAGAAAGTCACGATTTAAGGGTGGCAAAGGGAAGAAGCTGAACATTGGTGGAGGGGGTCTCGGTTACAAGGAGAGACCGGGGCTGGGGGCTGAAAGCTCTGTAAGTTACTATTTAATAGAACATAAACCTGCTTTTCATAACTAATGTTTGTAAAACATAACATGTGCAAACTGTCACACATTGCTGTCTGAATTCAGATTATAACAGTTCATACTGATGGTAATGACTGTCTTTGCAGGAGCGCAGCAGTAGCAGCTTGTTGTCTTCCTGTAGTAGCTTTGAAGGTTACAGTAAGCCAACAACTGGGGCAATGGGGGATCGCATGTCTGCATTGAAGCAAGCCTTCCAGGTACTGACTAAATAACACGGGCAATACAGCGATTGATAACAGTCTTTTCACCTCTACAGATGTGTCAAAATCCTATAGTTCAATATAAAAGTTGATTCTTTGGAGATGTTTTACCTCCCTGAAGGCTAATTATCTTTTTCCTTTAGGCTCAATATAAAAGCCACTTTGTGGCTGCAACCAGCGGCCCTCCGAAGCTCAGCACCAAATCTAACAGCTCCTCCGGCTGGACGAGTGCCGGCAGCCTCAACTCTGTGCCAACAGAGTCTGCCAATGGCTCAGAGCGGCACAATATAGGCGCTTTTTCAATGCCCGGCTTCACCAGTGCAGGCTCCCTGAGCTCAGTGCCCACCAGTCCGACCAGTTTACAGCAAAGCAGCCCATCACCTGCACCTCCCTCACACAGAGAAAGCTCACGAGACAGACATGGAGAGGGACGTCATGGAGACGGTCACCATCGCCACGGTGACAGGAGTGATCGGCACAGTGGGGATGATTATCACAGAGACCGGGATCGTCATGGAGACAGAGATCGTGACCGACACGGGGACCGGGATCGCCATAGCAGTCGCCACAGCGACAGCCGCAACGGTGACAGGAGGGACAGAGAAGACCGGAGGAGTGATAGGGATGGGGGAGACAGGGGGAGCGGAGAAGGGAGGGACAGAGAGGACAGGAGGAGTGATAGGGATGGGGGAGACCGGGGGAGCGGAGAAGGGAGGGACAGAGATGACAGGAGGAGTGATAGGGATGGGGGAGACAGGGGGAGCGGAGAAGGGAGGGACAGAGATGACAGAAGGAGTGATAGGGATGGGGGAGACAGGGGGAGCGGAGAAGGGAGGGACAGAGGAGACGACAGCTTTGCAGTTCCCGACCCACCAAAACGTAGAAAGAGTCGGTGGGATAACTAAAGCTAAATAAACAAACTTCCCATTGAATCATACGTGCAGCCATCTCACTCCTGCTCCATAACAAGCTCGTCTGTTTTAGGCAGATCGAACACATCAGAGGCTAAACGTAGCACAGACCTGTAGGAGGTTTTATTTATGCAGAATGAACAAAAACTGGACTGGTGATGATGAAGTTCATGTGAGCAGACCTCAAAGTTTGTTCAGGGTAGGCAACTCTTAAAACAGCCAGTGTACATATTCTATCAAGCCCGATGTTACTGTAAGTCAAGTGAAACTGAATGATAATTTCAGCAAAACTACAAAAAAATGTGTTTTTCTCACTGAGCGTCTAACATGGCCTTGTGCTTGCCGAGCTCATGCTTTATCTTTTCCTTTGGATTTAAGTGAGTTTGCATTTTGTTTATTTGCAGAACTTTGATGTCCGTGTCTAAACTATGTACAGCTCTTGTGAATCGTTTTCAAGTTTTAGTGAAGTGCCTTTCCATGGCATGTAGTCTGTGAGGTGTTTTTCAAGAAGAAACTTATGTTGAAGAGATATTTCAGGTGTACAACAACACAACAAATAAAAGTTTTGATCAAAGAGACTGCTTTGATAACTTTTTTCACTGCTTATGTAAGCCTGTCTGGTAAGGTTTATTCAATGGTTCTTGAGAGGAGGGTCCGCTGGACAGTTGAACCTTAGAGGAACAACGTGGTTTTCACCCTGGCCTCGAAGCAGTAGACCAGCTCTATACCTTCAGCAGGGTCTTGAAGGGTTTGTGAGAGTGTTTTGTGACTTTGGAGAAGGCGTTTGACTGTCACTCAGGAATTCCTGTGGGGATGGATTCTGGCAGTACGGGGTACCAGTACCCTGCATGATGAGTGGCAAAGCGAGAGTTCCAGAGTCTGGGGGCCACAGCAGCAAATGATCTGTAACCTTTGGTCTTTAGCCTGGTGCTGTACAACCAGTAGGCTTTGGTCACTGGAACTCAGGGACCTGCTGTGGTGTAGGGACTGAGAAGACCACCAATGCAAGATGGTGCTTGTCCATGTAAGGCCCTAAAACCCAGAACCAGGATCTTGAAATGAACCCTTGTTGACTGGCAGCCAGTGAAGCTGGAGGAGAAGCGGGGTGATGTGGGTGTACTTTGACGATTTGATCAGAAGCCGAGCACAGGCATTCTGAACCACCTGTAAATGGTTCAAAGTTCCCAGCCACCCAGGTTTTAACGGTCTAAGCAGGTGTGTAACAGCTGCAGCTTAGACATCTCATGGGGCTTAGGAGATGTACAGTTGGATGCCGTCTGCATAAAGATGGTAGGAGATTAATTTGAAATAGCTCAGGATGGGCTGAAGAGGAAGCAGCTAGATGAGGAACAGTAGAGGCCCCAGCACAGAACCGTGCGGGACACCATGTGTGAGGGAGGTGGTGGAGGCCTGAAACTTGGAGACAGCCACAGAGAAGGAAAGCTCAGACAGATGAAACGAGAACCACTCCAGAGCAGATCCGAATAGGCCTACCCAGTCTCTCAGATTATAACAGTGTCAAAGGCTGCAGTCAAGTCCAGCAAAACCAGAAAAAAAAGGTCAGAACCACTGCAATTGGTATTCTTTAGCCAAACACTGGCAATACAATAACAGTGTTAAATTAATTTTATACATGCATGGCACATTTGAAACAAAATACTGAAATCAAAACTGACAATAACATAAGGAAAGAAAATATTAAGTGAAAGCAAATGCCAGATAATATAGGGGTAAAGTGCAGGGTTCATAAATGCTACTTATAAATTAACCCACCTCCTCTGTCAGGTCTAATCACCAAACTACCCGATTTCTGACGTCGTAGTGGTTTATCCCACGGGCCCTGAACGTCTCAGAAGCAGATGAGGACCAATAGCGTGCGACCTCCTGCCGGAGAAGAAAACGGCTCTAAAGCGAGGCGAGGAGCGGAACTGAACGTAGAAACTCACCGGCACCGGACTCGGTTTCCACCTCAGAGCCTCCTTACACGAGAGAAAGATTAAAAACCCTGCCTCCAGTCTCTGAGTGAACGGGTTTTATTATCAGCTGGTTTTTAACCAACAAGAAACGCAGATGGTGAGTAATTTCCCCGTTTGTTGGTCCTCTCTTCAATCCGCCGGTGCTTTTTTGTCAGATGATGAGGTGAGGTGGTGATGTCTCGTCGCTTGGATGGGCTTAAAATCATTGAACGTGTTTGTTTTTTGCTTTCACCTTTCTCATTTATCTAGGTTTAAGGAGGAAATGTAGCTCTCGCCTCCATAAAGAAAAAAAAACCCTCCGGCGTCTGTTCTTTAAATGCTAACAGTGCGCTGATTGTTGTGGGGTCTGCTAGCTAACCTGATGGCTAATTATTATCTACTAACTATTTCATTTCCTCCTGTTTTAAGATGCAATGATGTTTGTTGCTATTTAACTTATTATTTATAAATAATCTACCGCTCCCATTCTTAAAAGCTGTTTTGTAGATAGGGGTATGCTGCTGAACATTGTGTGACTTGTGTTATTGTTATGTTTATCTTTTGTTTTGAGACAAATCAACTATAGGAGATAATTGGAAGCAGATTATTCGAAAATATTGTAATAATTGATTAACTGACTCGTAACTAATATAGTTGATTTAACCTTTAGAGCCACCAAACGAACGTGTGAATGTACTCTATCAAATACATAATGATTTATTTAAACAATGCTTGAACTTACTGAGCAGCATGATGGCCCATGATGACTGACGTCATCCAGCTACTCTCATATCTAATAGTGCATGGATGGAAATCAGGATGAAAGGTTTAGATGTCATGGAACCAAGATTTCCTTTAGTTTGGTTAAAGGGGTTTTACAGTTTTAATTTAACAAATAAAATCTAAAAAAATCTGATCAAACAGAGAGATTACAGTCTTTGCATACTGGAACTTTAAATTAATTCTTAAAATACCCGTTGTATTTTTGGAGCTTTTCATTCACATCGATGAATTACTTTTGTTAGATTAAACCTCTTTAAAGCAGATTTATTCCCTGATGAAATAACTTTTTTTATCCGATCGAGGCTCTGCAGCCTCGGCAGTCAGTAATTATCCCCCAGCATATGGCTACAAGGCTTAAGTGAGTACACTGTTACTTTCATTTCCTGCCATAATCAGTGGAGCGTCTGACTGTAAGAGATGACAGCTCAGTGACATCCTGCTCTGCTCAGTGCTATATGAGTCTGTTGTAATTTCTCTTATTTGTTTGCTCAGGAAACAAGGGGAGGGTTTGGATCCAAGCAGACGCTACATTTGTTAAAGGATTTAAAATTCAAATTGTTGTCAGTTTCCAGTCATCAGACATGACTCAATATTTTCTAAAAATATTAGTTTTTTTTCTCCTCTGGGAAATGAAAATGTTTAAATTATTGAGCTTCACACACCGTGGTGAACTTAGGAAAACAAACCCAGAACATGTCTCTTGAACTGTAAATATTGATGTCACCATTTTATCAGTAAAACAACAAACCCTTCTGACAACCCACTGATGAAGATATGGAACATCAAAACATTTAGAGTAGAACTTCTGCGTTCTTTTTCTAGAGTCTAGTTTTTCAGCATTCCTACCCGTGGTATCACATGAGCTCTCTGTGACTCCGATTTTTTTTTTTTTCCCCAAGCAGCATTTTAAAACTCAGATTACTTTTTGTCACTGTTTCTGTGAGCACTGGCCTACTAAGACCTGTAACAGAGATTGTTTAGAGACTCTCAGGTTTCTCACAGTATCATCAGTAAGCAGAACATGTCCAATATGTCCCATTTTTAATAGGAAGGACTCAATGTGCTCAGAGCTTATGTAGAAGATCACTGCCATCAATGAGAACTAACTACTTAAAGAGCAAGTCACCCCCAAATAAACTTTTTTTTGCTGATAATCTAAATAAACGAGTGTCTAATCGTGCTGCAGACACGTGTCGTCAATAATTTGGCACTTCAGTGCATCTTAGTTAAAATTTAAATATTCTGCCTAAAACTGGCAGTGTTGTGCCATTGTCAGGTGAAAACTCTGCACTGTATTCTAATTTAAATCTGCCACCGCTATTGGCTAAGAGGTATGCTATGATGTAAACTAGTACATTATGATGTTACAATGCTGTCGTGAGCCTGTGTGTGTGTGTATGTGTGTGTATTTGTTAGCAGCTCCGCCCTCTCGGTCTGCCAGGCAACAGCATTTGTTGCATTTTTCAAACATGAAGTGGGAGTGGAGTTAGACTCTGGTAGGGGGTGACTTGCTCTTTAAAAAACTTTCGGGGTGGAAGATTGTGGAACGATAATTACCCTGCTTCGGTACTTTTCATTTCAGTCCCGTGTACGTTTCAGAGGGAAATCTCTGTGTGATTGCAAAGCAGATATTTGCATGTTTGTTTGTTCAGGGAAAGTATCCTTGATTGTGAAACATTTCCTCTTCCCGTGTCCATCTGAGCAGGTGGAACACTTTGGAGTTTTTCACTGAGGTTGCAGAGGACCAGACAATCTTACTGTGTCATATCAAGTTGTATTTGTTTCAGTTTGGAGCAGGATATCTGGTACCTTATCTTCATTCGCCAATCTAGTTCTGGGTCCCAGGGGCTGCAGCCCAAGCAGGGAAAACCCATACAATCTCTCCCCAGGTACCTCCCCGAGCTCCTCCAGTGGGACCTGAAGGCGTTCCCAGTTCAGACTAGAGATAAAGCCTCTTCAGAATGTCCTAGATTGACCTTGACGTATCCAAAACCTTTGGTGTCTTGAAAAAATACCTAAACCACCTCAGCTGGCTCCTCTTGCAGAGGAGGAGCAGTGGTTCTACTCCAAGTCCTCCATGAATGTCAGGAGGACTTCTCTCTATCACTAAGGCTGAGCGTGGCCACCCTGCTGAGTAGGGATGTGTGGTGGTGAAATTCTGGCAATACGATACAGTTACAGAGGAGACAATACCATTTATTGCGATACATTCAGTCAGGCGATGTTAGCTATTTTTTTAATACTGAATTTACTGTAGGAAAATTCATTAAACAGTCCAAATTGATAAGTAACATGTGTAACTTGAGGTATCTGAACCATAACAGAGGGGTTTACATGTCAACGGTGGAAACAAAACCCATTACACACTGCTGCCAACTAGCGGCCAGCATTTGAATTGCACCAGAAGAAAAGAAAGTACACAAATGTTTGCAGGTTAATTCTTCCAAAAATTCGATACATGACTTTTGAATATCAATATTTTTCACAGGAAAAAAATATCATGATATATTGCCATATTGATATTTTCTTACATGCCTAGTGCTGAGGAAACTCGTTTCAGCCTGTCAGAGTTTTATCTTGCTCCTACTTTACCCCAAACGATCAGAAATAAAAAACACACGTAGGCTGGTCGGGTAAACTCCCATGCCCCCTCCAGCGCCCAAGGACAAAGAGCTGATCCATGATTCCACTTCAAGGATGAAGACCACATTACTCCTCCTCAATCCGATTATCAGCCATCGGCCAGGTAGACCTTAGCTGTGAGGCTGAGGATTGGGGTCCCTCTATATTTGGAGCTGGCGCTCTGTTGACACTAGTGATCCTTCACCCAGACCCTATTTGCAATTAGGGATCATTAGGGTTATACAAGGAAACCGCTGCTTCTGTTCAAGGTCTAATTCACTGAGAAACATATAATACTTGTTTGTTTGTTTATTTTTTTAAATACATTCAGTCACTCACTCTGGGTTTCACATGCACGCTGAACGGTAACGTTGTTTTCATACCCCGCTGCCTGCATTTGCCACCGAAAGGAAATAGATGGGAAAGTGGTCAGATCAGAAAAAGCCAGACTCTTCTAAGTAACAGATACAATTAATACTCATGTACTAACCCACCTTGGCTTGTGAGCACAGGAAGAAGAGAGCAATAGCATTAGCAATTCCACACCAATTCTTGTGTTATTTGTGGAGATGACACAGCAACGTATTTTGTACCCAAGAAAAAAAGAGCGAATGGAGGCAGCAGAAGAGTCCCGTTTCTGTTGGCCAATCAGAGGTGAGAATTTTGAACAGCATGAGTATTAATGAGTAAGAAAACCCCATCCCCAGGACAAACTACTACCTCTGTAAAAGTAGTACAGAGTTTTTTTTTTCCACAGAAAACCACCCACATTCACGCTAGGGACCGCACATTTACTGTAAAAACGAGTGTGTGAGACTTTTTACCTGTTTCTGTTCTGTCTACAAACACCACATCTCACAGTCTGCATCATTAATATCTAAACGTAGTGTGTTTAATAGATCTCTGAGATACTTAACAAAAGTTTTTTTGGGACTTGAGCAACTTATTCAAAGCAGGAACTAACTTCTGCAACTTCACAGTTCAGAGACCAGAACTGGCTTCCTTCTAATGAAATGTTACTGTATGTTTCTTTCCCTCTTCTCAGAAGTAATATGCATGTTTTGGTAAAATGTGCAAAGACTTTATTTCCTAAATAGAATGACCAAAATAATAGTTGATATTTTAAATGTGCATTAATGTTATTTTTAATGTTTTTGGAACTGTTTGTTGTTATTTATTGCTAAAATTCACAGAATTTCTTAATTACGCTGCCCATATTCCTTATTAGAACTCAGCTTATCACGCTTTTCAGATATTTTAAACATTCGTCAGTTGAGGAGCTTTTGCTCCTCAACCATTTATCTCACAGCTATAGAGCTTCCTTAAGATGTGTCTAAATGTTAGACAGGAAGTGAAAGAACAAGTGTTAGTCAGCTGATAAAGTAGACATGCAAACTTGCATGGATTGCCTGCGTCTCCTAATGCAGACTAATGCTCCATCCCTTTTTTTTGCACGCAGGAAGTTCAGAAAGGGAAGAGAAGTGGTGTCTGACTGACCAAACAGTCCAGCGTGATAACAGATCTGATTACTCTGCAGTTGCAGATGAGACCGGTTCACTGAATGGTCTTCACCAAGTCTCTGAAACTGAGGCTTTAGATAAACACGTATTGTAGTTAGAGTTATGACTTCAGCCTTTCTAACCTGCTTGGTCTCTGTGTGTTCAGAGTTATTGACTGGACTAGGAATACTGCCAAACGATGGGAGCTGTGTTT